GGGATTTCTGGGAGTTGAAGTCCACTCATCTTAAAGTGGCCAAGTTTGGACAACACTGCCACAGACTAACACTTAGTAGGGTAGCAATGAAGGCTTTGGAAAAAATACTCAGATGTTGTGATGTATCTCTACTTACAAAGATCAGAATCACTACACTTGATCTTAGCCAAAAGGCTGAGAAGCAATCAAAGACCAGAATCATGCAAGCAATTATTTTTCCTGTGATATGTTATGGAGATGAAAATTGGACTTTGAAAAATAGGATAGAAACAGTATTGACACTTTTGAAATCTGGTGCTGGAGAAGTTTCTTAGGAATACTATTTTTAATTGTGAAGAAAACAAAGAAATGGATCATAAAAGAAGTTCAGAGTCCTCACTTAAGGCACAAATGGGATCACACTAGAGGCCTAGTGTGGCTTCCATCAGCCTCTTGGATTTTTCTTCCTTCTCTTCTTTCCATCTGTGTAGATGTGTTTGTTTTTTTATAAATTTTAATCATGTATTTATTGTTTTAACTTGATGTAAGCTGCCCAGAGTCCCCCATTGCAGGGAGATGGGCGGGGATAAGTCTATGTATAAATGAAATAAAATAAAATAAAATAAAATAAATAAAATAAATGAGCAGGCTCAAATTATCATATTTTGGACACATTATGCAATTCATTTGAGAAGTCCACAATGCTGGGATAAGTAAAAGGAAAGAGAAGAGAACAATCAGCAGTAAGATGGATGGATTTGATTACAGTAGCAATGGGTGCAATGTTGGAAGACTTAAAGAGCCAGGTTGGGATCACATGATCCTGGAGATCTTTCTATGTGATTGTAAGAGTCAACATGAACTTGATGGCATATAATCACTCAATCAACAGGCAAATATTCATTCTGCAACATCATATGCCACCACGTCTCCTTCATATACAGTTACCAACTTGTCAACTTTGTTACTGAGGATTAAGAATAAAAATCATTGCATTGTCTGATACAACAGGTCTTCTCACTCCATTCTACACAAAAAGAAAATAAATTTTTTGTACCTCCTCCACCCACATCTTTATTTCATATATGTTTTTACCTGGTCATATCCCAACCCCCTCAGTTCTAGTGAAGGGACTGAAAAACCTTCGTCACCTTTCTCCTTGAAAGACCTTAACTCTAGAAGGCATAACGAGGCAAGACTTCTTGCAAATGGGGAAATAGGCCACCTGCAAGTTCCATTATTTTCCTGTACTTCCAAATATATGAGCTGAGCCAGATTTCTCAGCTTATCTTCTCAATACAGCTAAGGCCATGAAATATCATCAGTTGAAAGTTCTTTTTGAAGTAGCTGGAAAGGACCCTAGTGTATCTGTGTCCCAAGATGAGCTATATAAATAGGAAACTGGGAGCTCTGAGCATGCTAGGCAAACAGCAGTACTAGTGCATTCCTTTCGATTCATATTCCCCATTGTGTGCCTCATTACTCTCTTGTAATCCCTTCCTTTCCAATGAATGTAAAAACAAATATTCCCTTCTTGTTAATTATTCCAGCACCTGGGTGAGTATTCCAAAGGGTGGGGGGGTGGGGAAAAGGAAAGCTGAAGTAAAATCATAAGCACAGTCATGGTCACATAATTTTCCACTTAGTGACTGTGTCACTTAATGACCAAATTGCCAGTCCCAATTGTGGTCACTAAATGAGGACTATCTGTACTCCATAGCTCAAGGTATCTGTGTTAGTTTTCATGCTTTCTTCTAGCCTTCTACAGTTCTTGTTTGATGTTTCAGTTTCTTTTTCAAGGAAATAAAGCCATAAATGTCTGTTTATTAGTATTGGCCATGTAATCATATAGAGGGGGATGCGGTGGCGCAGCGGCTTAATGATGCCGAAAGTTGCCGGACAGAAATGGTTGATGCTTCAGCGGTTTGAGTCCAGCCTTCACGGTAGCAGGGTGAGCTCCTGTTTCCTCCCCAGTTCCTGTAAACCCAACAGTTCGAAAACACGTGAGTAGAAATGGGTACTCTCACTCCGGTGGTAGGAAAAATGCTGGCGGCGCCTTGCAAAAAGGAGTGGGGAACAGTTGCCAGTAAGCACGAAAAACCGTGCGTGCCTGAAAAGGGCGTGAAGCAACGGAAACCCCGCCTCCTGCGCTCAC